AATATTTGGGAATGTAGGAAATAGGAGGATTAAAGGGAGGGAGCATGCAAGGGATAAAAGTATAAGACCACATGCGAGGGCAGATTCTTGGAAATGCCAAGAATTTTGCACATTCAGCAATTGGTCTCTGGAAAGGCAGATCTGGAACGCAGTTGTTCCTAATATTTAATACTCCTCTCCCTATCAAAATCCGACAGAGAGGCCCAACAACTGTGAAATAATTGTCCGACAAAGATAGATTTACCAGATTTCCAAGCCCACAGACCACTTCCGGCACCATACCATACAGTAGATTTCCTGCAAAATTCAACTGCTCCACATTCTTTAGGCAACCCAGCGAAAAGGGTATTGGTCCTGTCAATCGGTTGTTGCCAGCATCAAAAACTATCGCTTCATCAAGTGATCCCAACTCATAAGGCAAACACCCTGATAATGAATTGTTTAATAGCAGAACCTCGGTTAGAGAAGACAAAGCTTTAACAATACCGCCTGGAATTGGACCGCTGAATTTGTTGTTGGCCAATGTGAGATAGAGAATATGTGTGTTGGAAAGACTGGCCGGGAGATTCTGCATGAAATTGTTGTTGTTGATGAGGAGAAAATCAAGGTCCTGCACGAAGATTTGAGCTGGGACCGACCCAGAGAAGAAATTGAACCGAAGATCCAAGAAGGTCAGGCTGTTCATACCCACAACAGCAGTAGGAAAAGGACCAGATAATAGATTGTTGCTCACATCGAGCTCGTATAGGTAAGGAAGCTTGGCAATGTTCGTGGAGATGGTGCCTGCAAAGTTGTTGGAATTGGCATGAAACACAGCAATGTCTGGGAGCTGATCAAGGAAGCCATCAACGGATGGTGCACCAAGTTGGAAGCCATTGAAGTCGATGGATGCAAGAGCCGTGGCAGACTTGTTATCCGGTGGGTTGTCACAGTAAAAGCCTCTGTAGCTGCATATGTCTGATCCAACCCATGTTTTAGTGATACCTAGAGGATCCGAGGTGATAATTGATTTGAATTTTTGAATCACGGGGTATACCACTGCAAGCCTCAGGTCTTCAAATATCAAAACCTCTGCTTCAACAGGCAAAAGAGATGATGGCCGAGGAGTTATCTGTTGCTTACAGTGAGGCAAACCTTGATCACAGCCTTTTCCCCAACTTCTAGCACTGCCAACCTTGAAAACTTGCGTTTTGCTGTTGGTACCATTGGCTATGGCGTGGACAACGAAAGAATAAAGCAGGTTGCAGAACAGAAACAGAAAAACTCTGGGAGGTATTTTACTCATTGTCTTCTGCTGCCGCAATGAACCACTTGCTCTGTAGTTTATTGAGGATTTTTATACTATTGAAGTCAAGTGGAAAATCAGACCAAGTTTCATAGAACAGCCTGTATATATAAGAAAGTGAAAGTTGACATAAAGAAGGGGGGGGGAATGCTGTAAACCTCTTTGATCAAACAGGTATGGCTCCGTGTCTGTAACTTAGTAGGTCGAATTTTGTGTCAAGTTTTTTCAAGTATATAAACCAAAAATCCAGAAATTATGTTACGGTACAAAAGTTGAAATCAAGGACCCCAACTTTACAAGAAATGGGTCCAATTCTTCAAGTCCCAACACTGATAACAGAAGCCAAATGGTAATGATAAGAAGCTATAATGAAGCGTGCGATGTACAAAGACCACCATCGCATAAGTTGCTTGTCAGATTCAAGATATGAAAATAACTTCATCTTTTAATCACCTTCTCGTATATTGATCTGCCTCTTTAGTTTTACAAATAGAACTCGCACGAGTCTGAATAATTGATCATATTTTATTTGCATTCGAACTATGATTTGTTGCAAGTATAACGACGTTATTATAGTGAAATCAACTATTTTTCTTTATTTTAAAGGCACCTTTCTGCCCATTGGATTCCATTTTCTTAAGATGATAAATATGATTGCGTTATTGTATTGGATACAGCTGGACATCCAACTTAGTGGAACAAGAACTCAAGACACAACACTGTCCCCATTTTTTTCCTTTCCTTTTTGAAAACGTATAGATTTCGTCATACAGGAAGATAAGTTGAATGATGGGCCGAAGCCCACAGAGAAATAAATGGATAACTCTCCCAACCCACAGTGGAAAAATCCAAACTTTGATGAACTCTGGGCCAGAATTGGTGAGCCCAAGACAGGGAGGAAAAGAAGAACATTCGTTTCCATATTATTCACAAAATGAATGGGCGAAGAGAAAGTTACAATTTTGGAGTTGTGGTGAATAACTCCAGTACACGTCGGCAGTCCCAAAGCGGCCACAGAATCTGTGCCTTTCTGTATTAAGATCTGAGCCGCAGAAGTTGTCCGCAAACGACAAGGGCGTGGCGTTGCGTTGCGTTGTTGCTGTACAATCCAAACCCCCATGGATTGAAACGTTTGCAAATATTTTAAAAAGAAAGTGGTGGAAATGGGAAAGAATAAAGGTGGGTTTGTTCCTACATATAAAAATAAATCCACCATCTAATCCAATATGATATGAAGATCAAAAAAGAATTCCTCAAGGAATATTAATATTGGAGAGGCATAAGAAAAGAATGTTTATAAAAACAGAAGCCCACCAGCAGTAAGTAGCACCACTAGCAGCGTGACTCAACACCCACCAAATCCCAAAAATCAAAAACCCTTCATATCTAGAGAGAGAGAGAGAAACAAAAAGGGCATCCTAATTTTCTATACACAGACAGCGCAGCGCACCCACTAATCTTCTTGGAGACGGCGCCCAAGCCGCAGCGTTGACTATTGGTCCCTATAATTTTAACCTGTAGCTTTCCCAAAATTATAAAAAAAAGAAAAAAAACAATATTTATATTTAATTTTGGTGGCCGTCGGATGAGTTGACTATGATGATTCGAGAACAAGAGCGGCAGGTGATTCGGTGGAGTGGGCGTGATTGTGATCGTTTTCGTAAGTTACAATCAGCATTGTTGGATCGTCTAAGGCCCGCTCTACGTGTTTCCGCGCTGGGCAGCCTCTCAGACTGCTACACTTGTAATATCCCCTGTTGATTTTACCAAAATGCCCATCAGTACTATTCACATTCTGATTCAGTCCCCTTCCCCTACTACTCTGCCCTCGAGTAAACATGCTATGTTCCTCACCCTCTCTTATTTTATTTGCTTTTTTGACATTAAAACAAAGCCAACGCTTAATCATACACTCTTTTCGGGAATATTATTATTACGCATGGAAAAGAACGTACTACAAAGGTCAACGAGTTCCTCTGTTCTGTACTCAATGACCCAGTTCATTGAACGAGTAACGAGTTCAGTTCAGTTCAGTGGGAAAGAATATCGAAACTGAAATTACACACCTTGGATGAGGAGAGCCTTTAATGGGTTTCTGCCCATACTTTCTCCATGAGTAATCGTCCGGTGGGATGTCGGCGAGTTTGGCGCTAACGGCCGGAACTCTAATTTCTCTTTTTATCCTGTTTTTCCTGCTAAAAACCCAAGAAATTCCCAAGTTCAATATCAAACCCAAATTAGATTGAAAAGAAATTTTAAATGCGTTCCGAGTACCAACCTCTTCTTGGAACAGTGACACCGGCCGGAAGACGAGCCACACTTGACGGCGGAATCATCCATGGAATTGCATTTCCTCTTAAGGGAGGAGGATGAAAGAGGGGGTTTTCCGGCGGATGAGACCTGGGACATGTGGGTGAACTGGAACCCAGATGAGAGAGATGGCTGTAAGCTTTCGGTATCTCCAGTTAATGATGAAATATACGAATTAGCAGCAGAAACGGGCGGCGATGCTGCGAAATTGATGGTGGTAGTGGAGTCCTTCCTGTCCATGGACCCGTTTTTGAGGAGCAGCGAGGAAGTATTGGGGTGGGTTTGGAAGGTATTTGGTGGATTATGAGGCAGAGGAGGCAAGCGCACAACAGGGGAGGGAGTGGGGCAATAAACCTTGAAAGCAGAGACCGATTCGTGTTTCTTGGCTGGAATCTGGGGGACCGAGGAACCCGGATCTTGAAGCTTGGGCGGAGGAGGAGGGGAAGTGGAAAGCGGAGCCCTCCGGAAGCGAGCGTGGCCGGTCCGGTTCCGGTCTAGCAGAGAAATGACCTTCTTGAACTTGTTGACGACGGAATCTGCAACGGCTTGATAGGCAGCGAGAGGATCGGGAGGGGAAGTGGAGGAATTAGACATCAATCTGAGGAAATTCTCGACGCTCTGAATCCCAGCGGAAGCGGCTTCCTGAACAGCAGAGACAGCGGCATTCTCTTCCATGTTGGGCGAAGTAGCTGCAGCAGCATCCCCAAAGCCCACCATAAGGTCCACAGCCATAGTAATTAGTAATTAATGAAGCCCTAGCTCCTCTCCTAATGAGCAATGAGCATGAAATTGGAGGAGGAGGAGAGGATTTGTATTTATATTGAATTGAAAGATGTGTAAAATAGAGAGGAGGAAAATGGTTGAGGAGAGGAGAGGAGGAAAGCAAAAGCGGAAAAAGAGAAGAGGAAGGGAAAGGATTGGAGTCAAACCGATGCCCTACCAATGCAAGGCATCGGGCAACTGACCTGTCGCTTCTGGTCCATCTGCCGTCAAACCCTTGGGCCAATCACAGCGATCCACGTACGGGTCATCAGCAAATTGACCCGGGGAAGGGAAATTAAGAGATGGGATGGGAGAGATAAGGTCAAAAGGTTGAGAATAGCCGTTAGATTGAGGACTCGGTAAATTCGGAGAGAGAAGACAAGATATTAGTTGGAGACAGTGGGATAGAGTTGACCTTTAATAGCTTTTAATGCAAAAGTCATTTCCGGTAGTGGGTCCCAGACGCCTTCTCCTTTTTACCGGATACCGGAACCCTCCACCGCCAACTCACCTCGGATTCCTTTCGGTTTCTCATTGGGCTTGCTTTTGGGCCCACGACGTAAACAAGAACCCACATTTCTGCATTTTCAAAAACAAAATTTACAAATTCGAATTTTAGAATCTCCTTTTCATTGAAGATTGAAGATTGAACATTTTCCATATGTTGCGTTGTGCAATGTGCATTAGTCTAGTACAGTACTATTTGGAGTGAATTGGATCCCAAGTTTTCCTTTTGGACCAACCCCAAACCGGAATTTTAATTGACTCTTCAATCATTTTTAAATTAAGATGCTCTCTTGATTAAAACTAGTGCCTTTAATTCTTTTTTTTTTTTTTTAATTCAACTGTAGCTTACAGCTTTTGGCGCCAACAAGCTGTATAAAAGGAATATTTTAGCATTATTTTTAAATTAAAGATTTGGTAAAATTATATTAATCGAATAATTCAACTGGGTATACTAAACCATTCACCAAATCGTGGGTTAATTAATTTAAAATAAATGTGTACAAGGGTGCAGTTGAACGTGGATTGATGCAAATAACAAGAGAAATCCGTGGGTGGCAGTGAATGAGTTAAGGGAAAAGGTAAATGGCATAATAAGATGCTGATCGTGGGGAGATGATGAATGATGAAGAAAAAGATTTTTTGTATTAAGTGAAGCAATTAACGTTGGAGATGAATTCGTAAGATTTTGTAGTGAGTGCAGAATTGCCTCTCAATTAATTGACAAAACCCAATCAAGTGCTGCTGCTAGATTTGATTTGTTATTAAAATCCAATTAATAACAAATCATTTTTACTTATTATCATCAAATCTTTCCCAATTATTCTTCCTTGTTTCTTTCTTTCGTTTTCTAAATAAAAAGTATTCAATACGACCAAAAAAATTATTATCCATAAAAATAGTTTTGTCCTACCACAATATTGCTTAAATTTTCAAGTTTATATTTAATATATATTAAAAAAATGATCCGACTGAGAAAAGAGAAATAAAAATAGAAAAGGTAAGTTTGGCAAGAGTTTGTTCAAATTCGACTGATCATAAATTTTCACACAGCCATGCCAATTAGTTTTCTTCAAACGAAATGGAAGTAAAGTGAACAAAAAACGTGTTCTATTCGGATCCAAATTTTCAAATGTTGACTCTTGTTTAATAATCGTTAACGTATTGGCATAAATTTCAAGATTCCATTAATATTATTTATTAAGTTCCAATCCAAAATCCACAAGAAGTGCGAAATTCAAGGCTAATTTGCGACTAAATTGTTGACTTTCTTTTTACTTTTTCAAGTCCGTTGAATGGTGGGACAGTTTAAATTTTAAATATCCACCTTCCTATTCACCTATAATAATTTCCTTCAAGGTCTTTTTTCTTTCATAATTATTTTTAATTACATATTTCTATGTTGGTTAGTAAAATTAATTAGGCTTAGCAACATATTTATTGAACAGTGCATCACATGCGTTCCACCCTCCTTACATGTTGTACTCAAAAACTATGTTTGTTTGCCTAATTCAGCGATAATTGGTATATACCTCCAACCAAGAGGTAGGTAAGGCTTTAAACCACCAACCTCACAGAAGGTTAATTTATGTCTCAATCTTATATTAACAATTTCTTAAAATTTATTAAAGAGAAAAAATTCACATAGAAGTTCAGTCCCAAGCAAAAAATCA